CTCTGGATTTGGGGTCCTGCAAAGTCTGGGTTTGTTTCCTAGGTAGTAGCCATGTCTGTGAGCTGGCATCTCCCAGGGTCATAGTTGTAGGTCAGATCTAGTTATCATTGTAAGCAAAGCCAGGAGGCAGGTACTTCTGGAACTCTGCCCTCAGTTTTCCTGGCAGGAAAGTGGGGTTTTGTTACAGATCTTGTCTTCAGCTCAGGTAAAGTACTAAACCCCCTGGAGCAGAGTCAGAGATTCGAAGGCTTCATTATTGCCCCTGTAATTCTCTTTATCTGCTTCTAACTCCCTTGGAATGCATGTGCACACATGCACAGGCACATGTACACACACACACACACACACACACACACACACACACACACACCAAGCCTCTACTGTCTTTAATCATCCCTTAGAAACAATGAGAAGTATTCATATGCCCTTTTTGCCTCCATGATGGACTAACTTGCTTTGTAGCTGAAGGTGACCTTTAATTTCTTAACCTCCTGCCTCAGCACCCCCATGTGGGGACCTGTCACTTTATCTGCTTTTACAAAGTGCTGGGAACTGAGCCCAGGGCTTTGCCACACCACCTTCCTTTTCTTTCTCTGGGCCTTTCCTTTTGCTGTAAGTTTCTCCTCCCACTGGAAGAGTCAGGCAAACATTTGCCCCAGGGTCTCAGATAGGTGGAAGCTTGCTTTCCCCCTCAGACTCCCAGAGGAGATACAAAGAAACTGCATTTGCAAGTGTACCTGCCCTGATGCCCCTCTCTCCACCAGGGTCTCTGCTCACCTCCTGTTAGTGTAGCTCATTCCTTTCCCATCAAACTCAGGCTTAGAAGACACCTTCTGAGTTCAGAAATCAAACTCAGGCTTAGAAGACACCTCCTGAGTTCAGAAATGATTGCTCTTCCCACAGCCTTTCCAGGAATGAAGATCCCTCTCAGGTCTGAATCACCATAATAAAAGCATCATTAGGAAGGCAATCAGATCTTGGAAACCCACATTGGTTTCCCCCACAGACGCCTGGGAGATGATGACCATTGGCATTATTTGCTAAGTTGGTGTCTAACTGAATGAATAACTTTAAAATATGTGAATAATGGAAAAAGAAACTGTAACTCTGATGACAGACCAAAATATTCTGAGGTGTCATAACATGGACAACTCTGGGAAGCCCTGACATGGCAGCCATCTTGGAGGTTTGTGCAGGCCTTAGAAAAGCATTTATCTTTGCTACATTCCTAGAGAGAAAAGAAGCCCTGCTTTAATTTACTTAATGTTTGTTTCCCTTCTTTAGGAAGTCAAAACACTGACATCATTCTAAACATCTCACAGGCCCCTAGGATCACCATTCCAAAGTCTAAGCCCTGACAATGTTTGTCCCAGTTTTGGGGAGGTAAGCTGTGTCATGCAAAGGGAGCTGAAGCTATTTTTAAATTGATTTAACACATCACTGAAACATATCATACACATATCACACCCATGACACACACACACGCTGCATTGTAATACAGCATGTGTCATGCATACATTCTCTCTCACTCACACACATACTTGCTCTTCTTGTCCGGCTTTAAAAAAAAAAGAAAGAAAGAAAGAAAGAAAGAAAGAAAGGCAGCCAGAGAAGCCAAGCCCAATGACTTGAGTTGAAAAGGCTGTTAAAGTTTAAAAGCCAAATGCCCCTCCAGTTCTCATCCTGGCTTTGAGACATGTGGGAGGGCTTCAAAGCCACAGTGCCCCTCTCTTAGGCTCAGGCTTACAGTTGGTCCCCAAATGTTTACTAGCATGAAGATGCCTAACTTACAGGAAGTGGGAAATGGGTGTGGGGGTTGAGGGTGGGTGGGTGAGTAGGGAGTGGGGAAGAGGGTGGGGGGTGCTCTATGTATGTGGTTAGCCTGTCATTGACCTTGTTTGGGTATAACAGGAGTTGAATTAGAAAATGAAAACTTGTTTCATCTTGAGCATATTTCATCCCATTTTTTTTTAAACTTTCCTTGGGGCGGGGCGGGGGGGGATTTTTTAACTCAAGTGGAGTCCGGTCTCCAGATTTGGTGCTCAATTTCCCTTCATGCCGCAATAGCTACAATAGTCCTTTTCCCCATACAGTCATCTAACCGCCTACATAGTGTTCCCAACCCACCCAGGGACTAGAGGGGGCGGGGGAACCTGGCCCAGGAGCTGAAACTGAATGAATGTTGGCTTGTAATGTTGCATCAGAAGAAAAGGACCAGGGTGTCTGAGAGCAGAGCTTTGGGATTGTGTGTGATGTGCTACCCTTTCATACACTCTCATGAGGAAACTCCACCTGAGAAAGGCTCATCAATAAAGACAACTGCCAAGGGAGTTTGGGGTGTTCTAACTCTGGAGAAGATGATATGGTGACTACAGATGTACCCAGTGATTGTTTAGAGCAAACATTTTGATACTTAAGATTGCAGAGTGCGGCAGCCTCAGCTCTCTATGCGGAGTACCTGTGCTGGCATCTCCCAGCCTTAGTCTAAATTCTGGCGTTCTGGAGGGCTGGGTGACACTCGCCATCAACCTTTTTCACCTGCCTAGCAGTTCTGCACTGGACAACACCTAAGTATTGTAATATGAACATTACTTCTCTGAATATGGGTCTTGCTTTCTTTCATCTTTTCATCTTTTTTGTGCCCTTCATTTTAAGTTATATCACTATGTGTCCTTAACTCTGTAATCATTAAAAATTGGCCTAGAGCTGTTTGCTTGATTTTTTCCCCTCATCTCTTTGAAAAATGAAGCAAACACTTAAAGGACATTATGTTCCAATAGTGAATCCCAAAATCTACTTTCCTTATAGTTCCACCTATGCCTTTGTCCAGCTCAGCTAAAACACCTGGAACTAATTCTAGGGTTGCCTGGCTAAGCCTCACACTGGTATTTGATGTTTGCATCCTCCCTAGACTCAAGCCCATTTCAACACCTCAGAAGGTGAGTGCAGGCTGATACTAATTAACCGTGAGTTGATTCACTGGCATCTTCCAGTCATTAAAGCAAATATTTGGCCTAAAATAGCCCTCTTCCCACCCTGACTGCCTCCCTTTTTCTATTCCTTTACGCCAAAGTGGAGCAGTCACTGACACTTGCGCAGTATCTGTGGCCCAGGAGCAGAGTTCATCCTGAAAGGGAAGTGAGAAAACGTGTTAACTGATTTGCAGTGGAGACAGCTAGCAGCAGGCCAGCCCTCGGGATGACTACATTGTTTTTCTGTCCATCGTGGTGCTGACTCAGCACTAGTTAATAAACCCTCTGCAGAAGCTGGATTTCTTTTGTTTAATTATCACTTGGACCTTTCTGAGAACTCTTAAGAATTGTTCATTCAGTTTTATACCCCTGGCACAAGAGCACGCTAACAGCCTGTTTCCTTTTGGTGCTAGCGCCCCCTCTGGCCCAAAATGCAATAACAGGTGGACCTACACGCCCAGGGAGTGCGTGCTACTCTTGTCCCCTGGTAGGAATTTGATTGTTCTGAACTACAAAGATTGTAGGATATTTAGATGTACATACCATTACCCGTGATACAATCTTCCGCCTCTCACCCAATCCCATCCTTCCCCCCCCAAAAAAAATTCTGGGAAAGTTTCTTAAAAGAAAACTTAAAGATAAGCAGGCCTGTCTATGAGTGAGTTGGGTTTTTGTTTTGCTTAGTTTCATTTCTTCCTGTAAACAAATACTCAGAGGTCCACTTCATTGTATGACTAAGTTGGTATCATTAGGTTGGGTCTGGGTGTGTGGATGTGGGTGTGGATATGTGTGTCTCGTGTGTTTAAAATACTAGGAAAGACATGACAGCCTAAGGTTGAAAGAGAGAGGATTTTTAAAACCAAAACAAAAAAACCTGTGATGAGGCAAGCAGGAAAAGTGGATTACTTGAATTTCTGTGACCTATACAGTCCTAGTGATGGGGTGCTGACTATAAATGGGCCCTCTGCATCACTGTTTCTCTGAATAAGAGGAGTCTTTGCTGAAGGCACAGACTATTTAAGGAAGTAAAACATCTGGTTTGTTTTGTAATGAGAAGCAGGAATGCAAGGTCCACGCTCTTAATAATAAACAAACAGGACATTGTATGCCATCATCACAGGATGTCCTTCCTTCTCCGGAGGACTAACTGGAGCTGAAGGCAAAGCCACCCAGGCTCAGAACAAGTCCCACTAATTACTGCCTCCAACAGCTTTCCACTCACAGTGATCAGTTCAATATCCCCCTTTTAACTGTAAACCATTCATACTCTCCATTGTAGTACGTGCTTAGAATCCTGCCTGTGGGTTTGGGGATGAGCGGCAGGAACAACAAAATCAGTATATATGATTATAACTTTTTCCTGTTTCCCTATTCCCAAATGGTTGAAAGAAGGAAGTTAGGTCTACCCAAGCTGAATATATTCAGTTAGCAGGAAAAATGAAATCCCACATGTTTAAATAGTAGAGGAGAAGCGCCTTAGAATATTCTATTTATTTCATTGGCAATGACTCCAGGACTACACAGCGTCCTGGTGTTGCCTGTGATGCCAAAATACTTTTAACTCTCTCCTTCAAAGTACATCGGATCCTGTAACCAAGACACCGAGTCTAGGTGACTTGGGTTTTCCCCCCCCGAGGAGCCGCCCCCCCCGCCTCTTTCTGCCGCGACAGGAAGCAAGCGATCTGAAGTGCTTAGAATACATTCAATCGCAGCGTGAGTAAATGCGGAGGGCAAGCGCCTGCAAAGGGAAGTAAGAAGATTCC